TGCTTTTCGTTTACAAAAGTGTGGCGATAGTAATGGTTGTTATTTCGACTGATGAACTTTTGTTTAAGCCGAGATATGTGCATTTGAAGTTTGAGGCGCAAAAACGCAAGAACTTTCTTCACGACCTAATACAACGCGTTACAGTACCCCATTTCAAGAATTGATTTTTAAACTTCGTCAATTGCGGTGTGGCGTACGCGGCCTTCGCACGTAAACCATGTATTTCACGCCTATGGCGTCTTCAAGGCTTGCTTCTCTGTTGTTGAAGTGGGGCAATGTCTTACTTCTTTTTGCATTATGGAGCTTTCACTTACCAAACTGTTTTTATGAGGCGCCACTTTTGCGTAAGCGAGAGATATCCCTTTTAGGATTAATTTTGGGTCATTTGAACCACAATTCATCTATCACAACTCAAGTGGGTTACAAAGTTTTTTGTTGAAATTTGATTTGCTGCTATGCCTAGGGTCATCGTTATGAATTTAGCATCAATTCTTTGTGGGGGCAGTACTAAGCGCTGGACTCTGCTACAACCTTTTCTAGAATATTCGTTTAAACATAAATACTTATAAGGGTTTTTAGGTAATTAACAAAAAAAAAAGAAAGTATACGGTGTTCATGATCAAGCCTTGAATAAGCCTATCGTTTGTTTCTCAGTATAAATAATTTTTTCCATTCATCAGGGGTTGTAAAGATCAAATGTTAGCCGCAATTATTGTATAATCGGAAGCAAAACTTATGTAGAGGGTTAGGAACGTTGGGAAGGCTACATCCAGTGCGAGACCTCAAGAGAGTGTCAGAAGACGCAGCTAATTGTATCAGGCGTTTTCTGCAATAGCGATTTTCAAAAGTCGCTCTGCGAAAATCAGCTTAGGCAGCTAGCTATACAAGTATTTGGCCAGGTAAGGAGCCACCTGGATCACGTTCAAAGCTGGCGAAAGAAGGCTTTAAAGACTGAATGGTGCGCACTGTCCATCTGACCCCTCATCCCATGCTCGGTAATCGAATTGCCTTCATGTTCCTGCATTGTTTTACCTGAAGAAGCACTTTGTTTCATCACCCATTTGCTCATGTGGTTGGTGTAGTTACAAATTATTGCTGTGATTAGCAATTATGCGATGGGCTGAATTAAAAGGCTGTGCAACCCTCTCATCGTCGTTTCCAGGGCTCCCCGAGCGAATTACTCCTACACCTTCAGACTCTTTCAGATTCCAAGAAGTGGTGGTGTTCTGTAGTGGGTGGCTGTCTGATGGATGGGAGTTTCGCGAGGCGTCTCGGGCGTTTGGTGATATACCGAGAGCGCTATGATCAACCACCGGAAACCGCATGTTCGTTTGTGACAAACTCACTACTGCTCGAAGGAAAAGTCAACGTTCTCTCTGAAAAGGTATGTGTATTTTTAAAGACTTACCTCGTCCTTCTCTGAAGTGCAGGTGATTATTTAGGAAACTGCCGACTTCCTTATTTCCGTAACACCGGACAAGGATCGGCGCGATCAAATTGCAAATGGTTTACTTTACTATCTGCTCACCGATGGGGTCAATTTCAATAAGGTTGGGAATTTTTCTTATCAAAAACATTAACTGGCCATATAAGGCATTGATTCAATTCTTTTTAGTATTTCCGTTGCTTATCTGTCATAGCCAATGATCAATGGTACGCAACTCTCTGTAACGTCAATATGATTCTGATTGAACTCTGGCCCAAACTACACGAATCATGTCGTGAGCTGATGTTTCAGTTTTTTCGAGAAGCCGTCAAGTTGAATGTGCCGAAGGTTAGTACCGCTTTACTTTCGCATGTGAAATCTTCAGAAGATTAAATGTAGCCTCAGACCCTACCAGGCTGATTTATGTCGTGCAATCCGGCCCCCTGAAACACACATTTTATCTTCGAATACTCCAGCCCCAGTGCAGAGATTATTGGAGATTGCAGATTAGCGGTAACAGCTTTATTACTCTCGTCAAGGTTCGGCTTTTCTATAAACTGCCTGGGTTTCCTTGGACAGGATGTCTAAGGCTAATCGTTATCAATATAATATTCGCTTATGAGAGCCGAACTTTTCACCCCAGGGAAAAACGTCGAATCCAGCTTCGAGTGCATTATGCATTTCCTCAAATTACTTTGTCTGTGAAACGTTTAGTAGAAGTAAACCGATGTACTAATCATTGGTTCTTCCCCCAAACAACCTGGTGCCAGTGAGCCGATACTGGACGAATCCAAGGCCTAGCCAAGGTTTCAACCAAGATTTAACGCAGTACCGTGCATGTGATGGAGGGCACTCTGTTACCATTGAACTTTCCCGTTTTTAGTTAGCCTTTGACCATCGTCAGGAGCGTGGGATTCCTACGAATTTGCTGCAGTGTATGGTGTTCTAGTTTCATTTCAGCGACTTCTCCTGATTCAGCATTTGAAAAAGGATCGATTTACATCACGTATCTCATAGAAAAACACTTTGTTTTAAAAGATATTGTGAATATTAATTGAACTTGAAGACTGCTGGGATCCCGGTAGTACAGTGAGTAAGTGTACTGTTGAAAAATCATAGAAGTAGTTCGGTCGTTTAGCTTTAATCTTGGTACTGTTAAGTTATATTCACCTTCTGTAGAGCAAAATGGCAAGTATTATACAAGCCTTTTTCAATTGCAAAGTTGTTGGAGCACAAGGACAGGTGCATTCTTTTCAGATTGAGAATGTTATCATGAATCTAGTACGGACCATCAATGGCAGTGTGGATTGGAATAATAAGCTGCGACATGCCCATGCTGTGAGTTTCTTCTTCCTCATACTTATGTTCTTCTACATTTCTCGCCGTATATAGATAGCCTCAATCCTGAACGATAATGAAGCGTGGGTGATGGGTCTGAAACAAGGGACGTTTATGCTGTTGAACGTATTGACGACTTTTGGTCATCTGATCATCGATATACCGATCGGCAGTCCATTTGAAAATATCCGTTCAGCTATGATCCAAAGTGTGGTATTCATTATTCGGTGAGTTCTGGTCATTCACCTTTTACTTCTTCAGACGATCTGACCCTGCAGATCTGTATTTTGTCGTGACTTTCCAGAAACTAGACAGACTTTACATCGAACTGCCTTTCCGTTTTGAGGAATAGTTTTGTTAGTAATAGTCTGAGCGCTCAGCTTCGACAGTCGCATTTTTCTTCGAACAGACCGCTATTTTCACGGACCTACTCTCAAAATAACTTGGTCCAGCTAGCGAAGTAGCTCTATCTTATTATGGTGTTCTTTATAATACAGTGAATCGACAATTTTAGGAATCGTTTTGGAGATGCATGTATTCTTGGCCGAGAGCTGTTGCTTGTGCTTATGCGCCTATCTAAAATTCCAGCTATTAATGCTATATGGGTGGATCTCATAACAACACCATCAAAATTTGGCCTTAACGACGGTGAGCTTTCAGAATGGTCTGACATAATACCAGGTATCATTATATAGCTTATACATGGGCAATTTCAAAAAAAGGAATCCGGCTGCGTAAAAATTTAGTTATGTACGCGAGATTGTTTTAAAAGAGAAACTTGTTATATCTTTCTGTTTTGTTCTGTTACAAGGAAAATACTATGACTGTTCAACTGAGCATCATTTAGGATTTTGTTCTCTTGTTTTTACCCTTCATTTTGTTTTCTTTCAACATATAATCTGGTCTATTAGATGTCGGCCTCCAATATTTTATTTTCATGATTCGTTTCGCTCTAGGTATCGAGGACCTTTTTCGACAGAGTGCTAACTTTTATGGTGTTCGCCTATCTGCTGAAATGATCAAGAAAATCGAATTCATAATTTGTCAGTGTAAACCGAACACCCAAGACAAACATTTTGAGTGGTTCACTAATACTGTAAGATATTTTCGTTCGCCATCGTTCTTGTGTTCTGTAATCCAATGGTGTTTTAATATAGAGAGTTTCATGAACTTTCATCCATGCACATCTTTCAGTTCTTTCGTGGGCCTGATGGGTTCAGTCTTCGAGCCGAGACTATCCGCTATGTGCTGTACTTCTTCAAAACTGATATGCCATCCCACGTACTCGAAGCTCGAAGTCATTTCCTCTACTATCTGTTAACAAGTTTCCCTCCCAATGTAAGTTCTGGCTAAGTCGACATCCCTTAAAGTTCTTAGCTACAAGCCGTATATAATGGAAAGTGGCGAACGCCTCTGCACCTTTTTGTTTATTCGTAGCTATAGATTTGTTTGTTATTGTGGTTGTTTTAGTTACAACATAGTATTTTGAGAAAAATTGCTTTCCAGGTGAACTTCATGAGTGGTGAAGCTACACCTTTCTCGAGTGTAAATCGTGCTTACACTGAATGTTATGCAGAACAATTCTTTTTTCAGTCTGATATTGAGCAACAATGGTGTAAGACTGTTGTGTGGTTCGACTGGCTTTCGTATGATCCTCACACATTGGTGCAGTATATTGAACCTGTTATGGGTATGGTACGGCTAGCACTCGCAAATCTACCGTCGAAAGCCAGCTCAATGCTTGAGTATTTATGCAAAGTAAGATTTTCATCACTTTTTTGATGATTTAATTCAGAAAATTCAGCTCCATTTCGTTTCAGAGTATCGCGTTTATTTACCCTCCTCGAACTGAGCTGTTTAGAAAATGTGCGAATGATGCTATGCAGGCTGTGCATGATTATTATGGAGGGTTTGTCATAGACACAACCTATTTTTTCATCCGTTAAATATGAAGTATTTTTCTGAAAACTCCGCAGATGGATTGGGTCCCGAATAAAACTGGGAATGGGGATTCTAGAACCGTTTCCATTATAGAAGAACACACTCTCGAAGGGTTTATCACATTTCTATGCAATCTTATGCGTCATTGCCTGCACTATCGCATGTACTTGTTCAGGCTCATTATATATTTGCCCTCATGGGGTCCTTTTCTTTCTTTTAGCTCATTTGGTGTAGGAGCTCTTCTGGGATCAAACTTCGTGGGTATTACACCACAAAGTTTTTTCTCATACTCCCTTGTTTTTTTCTCGTTGAATCGATTCCATTTTTTTAATTTTAAAACCTTAAATGTAGCAGCCAAACAATTTAAATTCAGGAACCTGCCAGGAATTTTGGATAGTCCTCGCATTGATCGGGCTGTCAGAGAGCTCGTACGTGAGACATTTGCTGAGTACTTTGCTCGCAACACACAACTGCTTTCACCGGCAGCAGCGCCGTCAGTAACATCCCCTACTGCTCCAGCTGCCGTACAGTCTCCGTTAGCAGCTAGGTAATATACCATTCTGGACTCTATAGCGAATTCATGGCGTACGGTTTGAAAATGAGAAAATTTGCAACACTCAGGCCCGCAACTGCACCTGCTTCCAACTCCAACCATGCCTCTGTGGCTAAAGAGAAGGTCCGGCCGAAAGACCGAGAGAAAAATAAGGAGAACGATAGAGAGGATAAGGAACGCGTGAAGTCAAACAAAACGCCAAGCCCACCGAATGGCACTTTAATAACGTCAAAATTAGATGAGGTTTGATTGCCAGTCTACTATATATTGTGCAAGTCGGTTTTAACTACATAATAGATGAAGTAGGATTATAGTGCTCTGAACTATTTCCTTGTTGGCTTGTCTTAGCTACTTTGCCTATTTAGACTAAGAAGAAGGAGCGAGAGAAAGAGATCGACGAGTTGATGGAGCAACTACGAGACGACTTTAGAGCTACCATGATGATCTTACGGTGCGTTTTGCTTGAACCTTGTTTTTTTTTCCTCGAAAACCAATAACTAGAAAAATGTTGTCTCTAGTGTAAGGCTAACAGATAGGTCTCGCGTACTACCGTGATTCCTTTCGTTACTCGTTACTCCATAACCATAATTTACATAAAGCATCCTGAGAGCATTCATCTAATAACCTTATCGAAAATCATCCAATGGCGTTATCGAAACTTGGAAGATAATTGAATATCCCCTTTTTCGGCCAACACATTCGTGTTAGGTTCGCGGGGTTTGTTGGTGTCTTTACACATAAGGAGATCGTTGTGTCTGTGTTCGGTTTTGAAGCTTTTGGCTAAGGGAGATCTGCGACATTAGTACTCTGTGCTATGGGGTAGGAGGATTTCTTTGTAATTTTCGAGGCACTCGTGTTTCGAATGTTGTAATATAGGTAAAGGAAGTGAATTAGATTCCAAGGCTTCTCAATTGCCTCCCTAGTATTTNTTTTTTTTGGCTCTCTTCACTTATATAGTTCTATTTATGGGTACCGCTTTCACGGTGCTTTCAGGAAGATTCTATTGATGAAGAACAGCTTGAAATAGTTGCGCACTGTGTTCAATTGGTAATGGGTAGTCCAGTTGAGGGCAATCGACGATCGATACTTCCAGATCCTGTAACAGAGGACTCTCTTGCAGACTCGTTCGCTCATCCCTTATTTATAATCTTCCGGAATCTTTGGTAAGTTAGCCGCACATCTTCATTAAACTCTTGGCTATTCTGACTATTAGTGAGCTTATTCTTCCCGAAACCGACGATTTTCATTTTATTACCACCCAGTTTTTTGAGCTTTTGCTCTGAAAAAATCATGTAATTGGTGCTTACCCGGTGAACTCTCAAATACTTTTCAACTTCCAGTTACACTCCTGATACGGATGCGACTACGCGATCTCTTATGGTGAACATGATCGCAACAATGCGGGACTACGACAACACGGTTACTTATCTGATGCTGTTCTTCATAAAGGTATTGCTCATATTTTTCATCAAACATGGACTAGCCTATGTTTATTTATTTTTATTTTTATTGGTATGTAAGAAGAATTGCCAGCCTCCAAATCTATAGGGGACAAACCGGCAACCCGACTGCTACAGCACTCATGAATAAGAGCTGAAACAATCGAGTTGCTGGTTTGTTCTCAATGGATTCAAAAGCAGGATACTTAACGATTTCGTGCAAGCCGTTGTTTTTAGGCAAACGATGGTCTGAGCAGCGACTGTATTTCATGCTATCGAGATGTGGCTCGAGCTCGAGAAGAAGAAATTGAGACGTTGATTTCGGCTGATTTGCAGGCTAGTTTACGCTGGCGATAGGACTATGGTTCTCGTTATTTATATAGGCTTTTCTTATGTACATTAATATTAGACACCGCAAATTAACAATAACCTACATGGTGGCTTCTTTGCGCGCGAATCGATAAATTAATCGTTTTAGAGAATATACTTCGTTGTGGAATGCTGCTTACTTAAAACGTAATTTCAGCAATGCGCTGTGGATGACGATCGATTGTTTGCTTTTTTGGTTCCATACGTGTTTCAAAAACTGGATGTTGAAGCGGGTGCCAGTGCCTCGGTAGGTCATTTTCGTTAAGTACTCCATGACGCTTTTCTTATTTCTTTACTCTGAGGAGAGCTTATTATAAGTTCTTCGATTCTGGGGAGTAGCCTGAAAACAGGCATACAGATGCTTATGGATTTTTTAGTCCAAGACATGCTGTGTTGTTACAGGTGTTCAGCGTTGTATGTGCACATATAGATGCCCGTCAAATTATGCAATTAATTGGGGAGATAGTCAGGTAATTATTATTAAATTGTAAACCTAGCCTCATTTACACACACTTTCTCGCTTCCTGAGAAGATTTTCGTTTATCTATTAGGTTGGCAACTAAGTAGCCGCTTATTTTTTAAGTGCTTCGAATGTTTATCTTGAAGGATAACTTTCTGGTTTTTAAAGCTTTTGGATTTCTGCAAAGGACTTTTTTAGGGAGAACGTAACTTTGTTCCGGAAGGATTCCTTTGCTCAGATCGTTTCTGCCTCACTAGAGTGGCCAACTACAGCGCAGTGGGCCTTTTGGCACCTAGGTTCGGAGAGCGTTTGTCTAAGTTTTGAATACCACAAATATTCGATACTTCAGTGCACGCCGAAGGTATCCCTGGCGAATGGTTAATCCAACTTTTGCCAAAGCTGAAATCATCGCAACATGCAGAAGCCGCCGCGAATGTTCTGCTCATGTTGAAACGGGCCGGTAAGGTTCTTAAGTCTTTCCATTTCATAACTTTTAGCTGCCAGAATATTTTATGTGCACTGTTTCTGTCCTGGTTATGCCTGGACCATAGTCACAATAATGGCCCGGCTGACCGAACACTGGTTTGCACTCTCTTATATAAGCTTATTCACTAAAATTCAAGGAGGATACTCAATCAATGCGTGAATTCCCGCATTTCAGAGCTTATTCTGCTGTTCTTAGAAATTTTTTTTTGGCAGCGTTGAAGCTCATTATCATTACGCGCACCGTCTGAGTACCACTCAGAGGGTTGCCGACAAAGTAGCTCTCGGCAAGGAGTTTGTAACGAGACTGACACATTCATGGAAATAATTTAGATCGTGATCCAAATATGAACATGCTGCGAGCGCTGTTCTCTAGGATGCCTTCGTCTGACGACACGTTCACTATCGATTGCATAAAGGTTTGCTTGTACTTGTTTGTGATGCTCTTGTTCCGTTCAATCGCCTTATGCAATTTTCAATTGGAGATTCTTATCGAAGACCCATCAACGTGCAAACGAGTTTCGGACAACGTGGGCAATCTTCTGAAGAAGCAGATGGCTGCTGGTGACCTGCACATTGGCGGGGGTACCAAAGGCGCCTCGAAGAAGAGCCCACAGAAGTTATCCATGGAACAGGTTAGTTGATTATCTCTTTCTTAATGTTTCAAATTTTTGTGAGGTTCAGTTGAGTGATTTTTTATTTGAGTGAATTTTCTAGGTGAATAAAGGCTTTTCTCGCTGTTTGATGGGAATATAAGTGTAAACTGCATGTTTTCTATTTTCTAGGTTCTTGCACATCTGGAGCAGTTCACTCAATTATGTCTCATGAAGGAAAAGAAGTCGGCAGAGCAGATATTTTCGAACTCTACGGTATTAGAAGCATTCATGGAGGCCGAGAAGTATGAGCATGTTTGCGATTCTCTTTTTGTTTTTTCTTATCATGCTTTCAATAATTCATGCTTTCGCAATTCATTTTTCAGGAACGACAAAGTTGCGCCATTAAGATCTAAATTTGCCCAGCTTTTTGCTGTGGTCAATATTCTCCGTGACGAGTCCCGAGATAAAGAACAATCTTCGCGAACTCTACGAGGGAACCGTGGCAGCGGCGCATCTTCATCGTCAAGTAAGACGAGGCACAAAGAGGAAGACAAAGAAGTAAGTAGCTCTTAATATCTCCTCATTTGTCTATTTCGAATCGCATTGAATCGCATTAAAAGCGAGGATCTCTAGGTGTCCTGTGAGCAGTCGAATATCTGGTTGACGCACGTTTTTTATCTTGATGCATTCTTTTCATTCCTTCGATGTGAATTAATCATAAAAATAGTTCTTAATCATCTTCGAATGCCCACAAGCTTCTGTCCCATGCTCTCTTAAGCATTTCTTGGGTAAGAATTTAGTCCTTCTTCCTGAGATTTTGTCTTCTCCTTTTGGGTGGTGGTCGTTTTAATGTCAGAGTTAAGAGAACAATCCAATTGCCTGAATTCTCGACGTGCTTTTGGCATTTTTAGACTAATTTTAATAACAACGTCACAAGCAACCGCATTGACAGTTTTCGAGGTTCGTAGGGCTTCGTCTCCAGTGGCGATGAACTTTGATCACTCAATGATTCAACTTCAATTAGTATACTCTTACTGAAGAATAGGGGAAATAATAGTGTTGTGTGCCTAGGCTTGTCTTTGGAACCCTGACTTGGCCAGAAACACATTCGAATACTGTTTCGATTACTAGCGGACACGAGGTTCCCTCCAATGATATGAGCAGAAGTCAGAACTTCTTCACTTGTTACCTTACTGTTTGTTCTCTGATGCTTTGCTCATCGAAATACTTTTGCTTCTTTCACCGCCCACAGTGTTTGTTGAACTTCACGCTTAGCTAATCCCAATTGTAAACTGTTTTAGGACGACCACGTGCCGAAGAAGAAGGCTCGTCGTGTGATCACCATCGGATCGTCATCATCGTCGTCGGAAGACAGCGATTGACGTCGTCGTCAGCGACTGCCAAACACGCTTGGGCGTGACCGCCACTGCCACTGCTGCCGTCGGTGCAGCTCTGCGTCTGGAACGCTGCCTGGTGCCTCTGCACCACATCGCGCCCATGTCGCCCTCACTGCATGCGTTGCGTCTCCTGTGTTCCTGGCATCATCGCTCTCTCCTACTACTCGTTCTCCTTCTCATACTCCTCCGTTCTCTCACCTCGATCTCCAATCGCATCGCCTTTCCTTTCCTTGTTGGTCACCATCAACCCCACGTGAGGTTGCGATGAGAGTCCTTTATAGAAAATCACTGTTAAGTGAAGCAAATTTTGGGGAGGTAGAGGAGGCAGGAGTAATGCTCCCATCGCGGGTTCACGTCCGGGATCCTCAAATTTTTACGTTGTTTCGTGTTGTGATATTAGTGTACAGAAATTTGGTTATAATGTAGTTTGGTCATGTAATGTAGCCAGAATTTCTCTCTCAATTTGCTACTCGGTCAATTTTTCATTTAGTCGTCGACATCTAGTTTATTCTCTTGGGCAGAACAGTAGGTTATCAAGTTGTTAATTGATCAGGGAAGGAATAGGGTGATATTAGGAATGGAGAGCAAAGTAATCACCGTAGGCTGTCGTTTTCCTGAATGTTCTATTGCCCTGGTCGATTGCCTGCTTCTGGGTTTCCCTCCTATGGCGATCAGGATTTCCAGCCGCTGAGAACAGAATGGTAGCCCTCGAGGCAGTGACGGGGATAGCGACTTTTGATTCAACTAGTGCTTACATTTAGTAAGTAGTATAGTTGTTAGAAAAAATGAATCTGTTCTGGAGTACTAGAGTGAGGCAATATGCACAAAATGAACTGCTCGATAAGGAGTTGAATTTTCGGACCATCTCTAACACAGCCAAATAACCCGAGTTGAGCTGTGAGCTCCAATCAACCATTTGCAGGTTCTTGTAGGATACGGTAGGTTACGGTATGGACGGGTCATTTATATATGTGTGTGTGTGTTTGTATCATGTTTTTCTACGTCCCATTGCGTTCTTTTCAAGATTTTGTCTTTTCTTAGAAATTTTCAGCAGAAGTTTCTTATAAATAACTACAACTTTTTGTTATTGATCTAGTATTGTGCGGTTTATGTTCACTTGTACGCTCTCGCTGCTGATATATTTGCTGTTTTCACACCGAATTCTATTACAATATTTAGAATTCAAATTAATACCGTCTCCCCATCATTCTGAAGTTTTCTGATGAAATTTTTTTTCCATCTAGCCCTTACATACGTTGGACAGGGTTCTCCATGTTCCTAAAATTGCGAAATAAAGAGTTTTTTCCAAAAATTAATGCTTTATTCAGTGTGGACATTTCACGGCATTTTACCAGTGAACGTTTCATCGGGAAATGTTCGTTTATACTCTGCGCATTCTAAACTTTTCGAGATACGCCATAAATTCGGCTTTCTCATACAGTATTCTTGTCTGGAGTCGGACTATTTGGGTCCAATTTGGATAATGGAACTACCCGGGTCTGGGCGCCTTTGCTTCTTATGGACAACGTGAACGATAGTTGCCGTATCTTCCTACAAAGCCACTTTCCAGCGACTCGTAAACTATATTCGAATGCGTTGCTGTTGAGGGGCTATTTTTTGATGATTGGGGTGGTGTAGTGGCAAGTGGCGCACTATCACACACGCATGGTCCGGGGATCGGATCGGATTAATGTTTCCCCAAGCTAATCAAGCCTTTCATCCCTCCAGGTTTTATCGGTTAATTGGTATCAGACTCCTTCAGGAGGACGAAAACAAGGGCTTGTACTCAGGCTGGCTATCTTTATTGGACCGGCCAGATACACATTCAAATGCCACCATGTTTCTGAATGGAAGTCGATTGCGGTGGCGCATCCTAACAAAGGGATTGATAAAGTCGAAGACTCCATCCTTCATTCACAAAGGCTTGAACGAGACTGAGAAACAGACAGGTTCTGTCAGCAGCCACGTACTTGATGAGAACTCCATTAGGATATTCTAGGAATGGTAGGAGAAGTGCAGATGTTATGTATGTCCACTGTGTGCCAGTGTTTTGCCGAATCCCCCGGAGACCATGCCGGCAACCGTCTTTTTCCATATCGCAAAGGAATTCGTTGAAAATTTTCCTTCAAGTGCAATTACTACAGAGGGAGGGACGTATGTGGAATTGGCATGATAAATGTTCTGTCGTTTGAAACATTCGGAGAATTCCCATGTCCGAACTCTTGCGGAAATCTCCTTTTTTTGTGAATCCTGAAATGGAGCTGAGTTGAGCAATTCTGGACTCCTCAAGGGTTTTGAGGAAGAATGCAACGCGAGTAGAGCTTTGCACATGTCGGAACTAGCCCTTCGTTATGGCTGCTATCCCGATAAAGATACGCTATGTAGGCTATGTTTACTTCAGTCATGCGGTTAACTTGGTAAACATGCTGAACAACTCCTATAAACTCTTGGAATCACCCAGAACCCACAGTAGTCATTGACGAGCGGAGTCATGGAGCTGAGATCACACTGTAGAAGTGCCACTTCTAAATGATTAAGGACATGAAGGCTATGACGTTATGAGGAAGTACAGAAGGCGCTTCCAGATGTGTACTCTGAGTACTGCTTTACCTTCATTTGTTACAAATAATTAATGATTCATTAGAAAGGACTTTTCGAATAATTTGTTCTCTTTTGGCTCAGTTGCATTTCAATGTAGACATCCCATGAATACGTTCTACTTTAGGCCTGGATGAATTCAGTAGTTTTCTTGATCACTGGTTCGGTGGTAAGAAACCGACGTTTGATGCTGGAAGTGTAGAGGACTCGTTCAGGCGTCCCCCCC